AGAAATAAACAAAACACTATATAACATAATTAGCAAAAAGAGATGTTGCAAAACTGAAATTGTTCAATTTGCTTTAACATGAAAATCTCTAAAATTAAAGTTCTAATCAATTAAACCATAATTTTAATGTTCATAATATAAAAACCAAAGTGTCATGAAAACATATTGATGAAATATAAATGATATTTAACATAAACTTTAGTTTTATATATTTAATTAAACAGCAGAAAAATATCCAAAATTTATCAGTATAATTATTGATTTCTTAAACTTAATCATGCTAGACAATAATTTTATATTAGAAGATAAGGAGGATCATAATTTATTACAATAAATAAATAAAGAATTGGAGAGCAGATCAGTTGTTACAGTTGGAACATAAAATTCAGGGGTATGTCTAGTTTGTTTCTTAACAATTGAGTTAGATTTAATAATAAATTTATGGAAATAACTATGCATTTTTAACTTAACCATTTTATAAATAAATATTAAGATTCTTAAAATGTACAAATAATTAATTGATAAAATACCAAATTTTTTGAAAAAATAAGTTATATGATTAAACATTTGAAGATTATATATTATTCTTATAAAATAATTTTGACACCTAGTAAGAATTATTATATGTGATTTTGTATTTTTACCCCAAACGATGACGAAATAAATAAAATAAGAATAAATATAAATATAAATTTAATAAAATTTTTTGTGGAAATGTTTGTCTTAGTTTATTTATAACACCAAGCCCCCTAGAAATTTTCTTTGAAATATCCAGAATATGTTCCTTCCAATTCAAATTACTTGAGAGTGTTACACCCAAGAATTTTATCGAATGAACTCTAGGGATTAAGTTATCATCAATAAAAATTTCAAAATTTATCAGGTTAGTAACAATAGATGGACCAAACAAAATACATTTGGTCTTTGATAAATTTATCTTCAATTGATTGAATTTCATCCATGAAGAAATTTTAACTAATTCCTCATTTAACGCTTGAGTTAACTCGATTATAGATTTACCATTCAACAAAATCGTTGTATCATCTGCATATAATATGGATTTTAAACGTGATGATGAATTCGTTAGATCATTTTAAAAATGTTAAATAAAAGTGGTCCCAAGATGGAACCTTGTGGGACACCACATTTGATGGAACGAAGCGAAGAAACAGAATCACCCATTGAAACATATTGTGTTCTGTTACTTAAGTAACTTACAAACCATTCATAAGTGGAACCTCTAATACTAACATTAAGAAGTTTTTTTAACAATAAGTCATGTCTTACAGTATCAAACGCTTTAGATATGTCCACAAACACTCCAATAGCCAAATCCTTAGATTCAATACTATTCAAAACATATTGATTTAAATCCAATATAGCTAATTCAGTAGAACAATTTTTACGGAAACCATATTGTCTATCACTAATTAAATTATAAAAAATTGGATAAACGATGATGGACAATTGTTTGCATTAATCAATTTAGAGTTTGTCTTTTCACTTTGTCTAGAATTTTCTGGAAATTGTTCAATTTGTTGAAAATAGAATTATCATCCAAGTTTTTTTATTTGCATGATGAACTTGGAATTAGTCCTAAGTTTTGTTAAATTTTGAAATTTAAACAATTCTGGAAGTTTATTTTTTATAAATTAACTTTATTTTAAAATTTAAATTAATTTCTTATATTTCTTATACTTTACTCTATAAATAGTCGTATATTTCTATATATTTATTTTTTCATAATTTATGAGTAATGTAATGTACCGTATTGTATCGTTTTAACGGTTTTTTATTTTAAAAATATTCACATTTTATTTTGAATTTTGAATGTTTATGTTCTTTCAATATGGACTTATTATTACAATTCATTTTTTTTATCTTATTTTATTGTGTTTAATATTAGAATTTTTAATTCTTAAATATTAGATATAAGAAATTATTAAAAAACATAATCATTAATATTATTTTATGTATTTTCATTTTCTTAGTTTAAATTGTATGTATATGCAATTAAATTAGTTTTTAATTATTTATTTTTTAATCTTACTTTATTATTATTTGCTTAAATATCCATGTATGTTAAATTTGGTTCATTTTATTATATTGGTTTATTTTCTTATATAATTACTATTTTTGATTTTCATGTTTTATTATTTTTGTAATATCTCTAATTCTAATTATTAAACATTAACTTCAATTAATTTTTATTGATTTTTCCATTGTTATTTATTAGTTTGACTTATTTGTTTATCCTATATAATTTTATTCCTTATGACATACTCTTGCCAAGAAAACCATCGACAAACACAAACCAAATTAAAAAACATTATGATAGTGACAAGTTGAATACATATTTCACTGTGGCAACGTTGAACTAGACTGGGAAATATGAGAACGTTAAACAAAAAATGAAAAAAATGAATCTCAGCATTCTAAGTTTAAGCGAAACTCGGTGGAAGAAATCAGGTGTCATTACCTTTGAAGAAGGCAAATTCATCTACTCTGACGGTGATTCACACAAACGAAAAGTAGGTGTACTTTCGAACATTTAGAAGATTTCTGGGCGGTGTCAGATAGATTTATTGGTCAAAATACACGAAAAACATTTCAACTTAGCTTTTATTCAAGTTTATGCGCCAACGTCTGAAAGCTTTGAAGAAGACCTTGATGCTTTTTGTAGCGATTTTGCTGATGCTTTAAAAACATGTAAATCTCAAGAAGTTGTTATTATGATGGGTGACATGAGTGCAAAAGTTGGCTCAGAAAAGAATACATGACGTGATTAGTTCTCACGTGGTTGGTGAAAGAAATGAAAGAGGAAAACAGTTGATAGAATGGTGGGTCGCAAATAATAAAATTATTACAAACATCTGGTTTGACAATCACCCAAGACGAAAATATACTTGGAAGATTCCCGAAGACAAGGTAAAAAATATTGATGAATTAAATTACTAAAAATAGACTATTTCGAAATGCTGTTTTACAATGCAGAAGTTACTTTAGAGCTGATTGTGGCAGTGATCATAACACAGTAGTTTGTAAAATCAGGATATAAGTTAAAGAAAATCAAAAGTAAATGTAAAACGTAAATAAATCTAAATATTTAGAAATGGCCTCACAGAATCAGCAAGAGAAGTTTTACTGATGAAGGAGCAAGGAAGAAGTCAGAAATGGATAATAGATGACATCGTATTTCTAATGGATGATCGGAGGAAAGTAAAAGGTTGCAATCTTGATAGTTACAAAAAGCTGGACAAAACAATCAAAAAAATGTTTTTAGAGACAAAGGAGAAATGGTTAAATGACAAGTGCAAAATCATTGAAAAGATCAAAAACAGTAATACTAGTGCAATGGATAAAATATCAAAGAAATCACTTAAAAAAGGGCATGTACCGTTTCTGGATGCATAAAAGCTAAATCAGGTAAAGTAATCTTAGAGAAAGAAAAAGTACTTGGAAGATGGACTGAGTACATTAACGATCTTTTTGATGATATCCGAGGTGAAAAGCCTCTTATTAAAAAAGACGTAGAAGGACCAAAGATACTTAGATCTTAAGTTCATGTCGCTCTTTCCAAAATGAAATCAAATAAAGCGCCAGGTCCAGATGAGATAGTTTTTGAAGAAATTAAATGCCTTGATGAATTTGGCATTGACAAAGTGACAGAAATTTTGAATGAGATTTATAACAGCGGCAAAATTTTTGAAAATCTCTCCAAGTCAATATTTATTGCATTGCCTAAAAAACCTAATGCAACGGAATGTGAACTACACCAAACAATCAGCTTGACGAGCAAAATCGGATCTGAAATTTCAAATGTCTAATGTGGTTTTGTAACATCAAGAAACACCATCTTTATGCTACAAATGATCAGTAAACAATATTGAAATGAGATAGACTAGTTTATATGTTTTGTCAATTACTCCAAATCTTTTGATAGCTTATGGAAATATTGAAAAATTTGGACATTGAAGGAAATAACACGAGTTATCAAAAACCTCTATTGGGACGAAAGTGCAGCGTTGAAAGTTGGTAACAAGATGACTAGTTTTGTTGAAATAAAGAAAGGTGTTAGGCAAGGCTGTGTATTCTCTCCAGACTTGTACAATCTCTATAGTGAGATCATCATGTAAAAGATAGAAGATTTACCCGGAATATTTATTGGAGGCGTGAATAAAAATAGCGGATTTAATAAAAAAAATTGCAAACAATTGTTTCCAAACAAGTTTTTGAAAGTGAAAGAAAAAGCTTTCAAATTAACATCAACAAAACTGAGTACATGGGTATCAGTAAATTTAAAACCGCCCCGACCTGTTCCATAATTATTAGTGGTAAACAGATGAAAAAAGCAACAGCTTCAATTATCTCGAAGGTATAATTACCTCAGGTTTTAAATGCAAATTAACATCAACAAAACAGAGTACATAGCTATCAGTAAATGCAAAACCGCTCCGACTTGTTCCATAGTCATTAATGGTAAACAGATGAAACAAGTCAACAGCTTTAATTATCTTGGAGGTCTAATTACCTCAGGTTTTAAATGTGATATGGATATCAAACGAAGAATAGCTATGGCGATAGATGCATATTCTAAAATGAAAAACATCCTAACCAACAGTTAAATCAGAATTTCAACAAAATTAAATTGTTAGATTGTTACATTTTTCCATTGTTTACTTACGGCTCTGAGTCCTGGAAAATTTCTAAAGAAATGGTAAAAAGGATTTATTCCGCTGAGATGTTGTTTTTGTGAAGAATTATTAAAATTATTTGAACCTATCATACTTTGAATGAGGTTGTATTAAAACCGGCTATTTAAAAAAAGGAAATTACTAAAAATAACCCGACGGGAGTATTTAAAGTTTTTTAGTTACATCATGCGGAAGAAAGGAATGGAAAATCTAACAACTACTGGAAAGATTGCAGGAAGAAGAGGGAGTTCTTTCCTGTGCCTTGTCCTTTCAGGACATTGGCGACCATCGACTTCCACAAAACTCGATCTTAACACTTTGTAGCAGTTGAAATTTGGTGATATTCAACAAGTGAAACGTGATATGTAAAAAACAAGATTCTATAACGTAATAATTTCCCTGCTGTTAGATGTAGTTTCAAATTTGTCACTAAAAGTGCAAAGAGGAACAGATTACGACGCTCTAAAAGACTCAACATTTAAACAAACCAAACCAAAGCAATTTGTACAGGTATTGCAGTCGTCAATTTCACAGGTTATTGCTGCTCAAAAGAATTTTGACCTGCAACAACTTGGAAATTTAGCTGTGGAAAATCATCTAGAAAATGACACCACAAGCAGCAGCACAAACGTATCAATGAATGTTGACGACGCTAACCGCAAACTTATCGACTCAAGAATCAATGAAACCGTTTTGACAAACGATTCACATGATTTTGTGCAAAAGATTCATATCAATGAACCACCAGTGCTCCAGATGATAGAGCCAAAAACTGAAAAACATGTTGAAAAACATATCCTAACGATTGAACAGATTCTTGATAGTGGTGAAATCCAACCAATGTGTGCCAACCAGTCTCAAGAAAAAGAACCTTTAAAAATAAATTTGAGTCTGGAGAATTTAAACAAAGTTAAAGAGGGGCAGCCGCCAGAAGAGTCCAATGAAATGAGAGTTGTTCTG